ATGCATAAATTGACCAGTAATTATAGGCTAATGAGTTTGCTATTGACCTCAAATAACTACCGACTCTAGTTGAGATATAAATACTAAAAGCACTGAGCATGTAAAGGCTATTCCAGTGTAAAGTTTATGATATCACATGGGAGTATGTATATATATATAGCGCAATCAATAAGGCATATTAATACAAACGTTTCTGGAGGCTTAATTGGAGGTGAACGAGCTCTTGTCACAGCCCATTAAGTTGAGTACATGTAATTGTTCTTGATTTTAAATGCAGGATAAATTACAATTTGTTCACAAAGATCCTTCATTAAAGCCTTAGGTAAGCAGCCATTTAATTAAACTTCAATTGAATGTACACAAATTTTGTCAATAAGCTTTAACAATGAATGATGGGTTTTTTTTTTAAATGCTTCTCCAAAAGTCAGATATTTAGCCTTACCCTTGGCCCTGACTCTTGAATAATTCAATAACAATTTACAATCAATTAAAATGGCTGGCAAAGATTAAAAATCTCTGACATTGGTCAAGTTTATTACGTGCGAGTGAATGAGACTTTGTGCGGCCATGTCCGAACTCAATTTAGCGTTACTCATGGTCCATTAATTCACCATTTTCATGGTAGGTGCAATAAAGTACAAAAAAAACCCAAAATACAACAAAAATCAGCAGAACAGAAGCGAGTAAACGATACGAAGCACAACCAAAAGTCGACACCATCAAGGACCCAGAAAAAGGGTCACTTCCAGGCAGCCGGGCACAAAACCCTCTAACTGTCTCGACCCCTCTCAACGACCAATTACAACTAAACAGCTTTAATTTAATTTGAGCCACCCAGCCTACCCCCTTTTTAGGACGCGTCTGACCCCGACCCCCACTACCTTCTCCCATGGGTGGGGCGGTGGCTGCTGCTGCTGCTGGCCAAGAACAATGGCGCGGATGTAATGTTCGCATTATGCTCGTTCACAAATTGTAAGCAGCCATTATGTTTCTTCATGTTGCCCATGTTTCCTGCAACCCCTCGAAGCGCCACGAATCCCCTGATTCCCCGAGCCTTTAGCATTGTAATGCCTTTGGTCCTGGGAGCAGGGACCCCGCCCAAACATTGCCGTGTTCGCCATTGTTCTCCGTTTTTCCCGTCCAGGCTAGCAGGCCAGCGGGCTTGCTGGCTCGCTGGCTCACTGGCTCTCGTATGTCAAAATAATGGTGGCAGCGGGCAGTCATTGTTATATCTTTGCTGTTGTTGCTGCCGCTCCTGTTCTGGCTTCTGCGGCTGTTGCAGTTGTTGCTTTTGTTGTTATTTTTGTGCCTGGCATTGTACCTGGCCATGGCTGGCGGCATAATCATCACCTAATGCCCCAACGGCGGCTGCAGTCCCAGAAAGCCGTCAATTCGGATTTGCCCTTGTTTGGCAGTAAAACTGAATGCTTCGACTTTAAAAACAGTCCTATTTAATGACGTAGTTTTTCCTACAAGCTTATGAATAATTTTCAACAAAGTCCAATTACTTTATGATTTGGTTTCTCAAATCGTATGATACCATGACCTTTAAGTTTAGCCGAATCGTCTCACGGCTAAAAGCAACAAGTGAAGAAGATGTCGAGACTTCAAAGAAAATTTGTGGTTTTATTTGTTGTTCAGGGACGCTTTTGCTTTTGGGGTCGGAGAAATAAAACATTTAATTACACGCACGAGACAGCGTGCATGTTATGGCCGGCAATTAGTTGATCAATTTGCCAAGAAAACCACTTTGTCTTTAAGTAATTGAGCGCGGAAATATATGAGCTAAGAAATGGATTATGGAACCATTTGGAAATTACGCAGCCCAATGAATAGAGTAAAGAAATGAATGGCATCCTTGGTCTTGACTTTTACCTTATTATTGGCCATTTCATAAAACCGATAATTCCGATTCTTGGCCAATTTTTAATCAGGGTTCTGGCCTATTGGCACTTTAATGCATCCTCATTTTTTTTGTTTGGGAAGCTGCTTGACTTTGGTATATGACACTTTTTGGTTAGTAATTATTAATCTAAAATTGGCAGACACAACTAAAATCATACAAACTTTAAATCTCCAAAGCCCCCAATAAAAATAACTCAATATGGAAATTAATTCCTCAGTTCCATGGCTTCAAATTTGATGCCATCCATTGAATTTTGACTTTCTGGCTTTGTTTGCCTGCCATTTGCAAAAACCATTTTTCGCAATTCAATTTTGGCGAGCAGCATGCGACTTTCAATCCACCAAATCAAACACACTCCGTTGGCCATAAATTCAGCCGCTGCAGAGACCGCGTAATTTCTGCGCTTTATTTATGCATCAATGGCGTGATTTATTTGCAAACACTCTGGCCCAGACCACAAACATCACTTCAAGTGTTCATTGTTGTCTACACTTGTCTTATTTGTCCATACATATACATATGGATGATTTCTGTTTTATATGTGTGGCTTCGGGTGGGGTAAAAAAATAACTATAATTCACTGCAAATAAAGCAAGAAAAACACAATTATTTATCACGGAGCAGACAGACATCCTCTCGATGTCCACGGGCACCCACCATCCTCCATCCATAGCGCCACCCATTTCCGCTCGGCAAACAAAGAAACTGAGCAACAAAACAAATGTCAGTCTGCAAGGGTAGGTGGAGCGGTGGACCAAGGGGAAGTGTCTGGGCTGGGCCTACAAAAGCGGCTCAAAGTTTTGGGCGACAACAAAAACACAAATCTTCTCAAATTTTTTTCGTGCCTGATTTTTGGGTGTGGTGACTGACAGCCAGAACACCCCAAAAGCTCTGAGAATCGGGTGGGAATATGGAAGTGGAAACAGATCCGCAGTCCGGAGTCCTGAGGCCGCATCCAACACGCCGTATTCCCTACTCCAGACTCCGTATTCGGTATTTCGGTCGGAGTCCGGGCGACATATTTTGTGCTAAATCTTCTTGTTCACACTAACGCGTTGCTGACAGTTTTTCTTTCTTCATTTTTGTGCTTCTGTATCTTTTTTTGTTTTGATGGCACTGCTGCGCCTCTTGTTAGACGGGTCTCTGCCTGTGGTTGTTTTTGTTTTTTTCAAGTGTGACAGTCAGTCTGTCAGTCAGTCAGTCGCTCAGGCAGTGTGAAATATCTCGCTAAATGGCCAAAACAAACACCCACATCAAGGCAAGTTGTTATATCACGGTCAGACTATTGCCCCTCCGATTTTGTGGTTGTAGTGATGGAAATGTTATTTTTTCTTACCTGGGTTGGGTAGAAGATATTTGTCAATACAAATTTGAATAGGCCAAGTGTATATATTTCTTGGCAAAAATGTGAATAATTCGCTTAGTTAGAATGTATTTTCAAGGTGGTTGGCGAAAATAACATCACAATTCTTAAAGGTTATTACTGTTCGTATTGACATCTTTAATATTTCTTAGAACTTTAAGGCTTTTACAATTAAATAATATTTTTCCTTGGAAGGTTCTTAACTAGAGATAGTTTACAGAAAATATTGAAAATAGTAAACAAATTCCTGAAATTGTTAAAAGCCCTTTAAAATAATTCATATTTATAGATCTTAAATCAAAAACCCAAATATACCAACTTATCTGGCAACTCTGGGGATCCCCTAACTGGTTTCGAACTTGGCTAAAAAAAACTGGTTTTCATTTCAATGGATGCTGGGGCTTTAGGCCGCCGTCTTTTGTTGTTGCTACCTGTTAATTTGGCAGTTTTTCAAGCGCTGACATTGACCCAGTTTCTGTCTGTCGTCTTCGGGCGCTTTGCTGCCTCATTTGCCGCTTGGCAACTTGTTTGTTGCTATTCGGTCATCAAGTGTTGAGTGCTAATTGCGGTCACTAACATTTCGCGGCCATTCACACAGTACTCAGACAATCGTCAGCAACAACCACATTCCGTTCAATCCATCTCGGAAACTGCATTTGCATTTCGTTAGTGTCTTCCCCCTGCCCTACCCTAACCGCCTAACCCCCAACAATTTCAATATTTCACTCCCTACAGATGCACTGAAATTTGCATATTCGATTTTGGATTTTGGTCACCGCACATGAGTGTTTGAGTATTCGTGGGGGATGCATTTGATTTTGTTTTCCTTTTGTTTTTGTATGCACCCACTCGATGGTTTCGAAATTTGGGCAGAGTTTAAAGAGCTTAGTTTGGAAAAGCGAAAACCAAATTAACATATGCTGGTATTATAGAAATTGGAGGAATTCTTTGCATTTAATCAGAAAATCGAATCAGTTTATTGGGCAAAATGGAGATTTAAAACAATACTGTCCGATGGCACGTAGACTGTTTCAAATTGAAACATGATGACCTTATCATATTTTTGGAATGCCTATGCAACCGTAGTTATCAGTAATGCCCACTGGGAATAATTTTCAACAAATATTTTTTGTAAAATGAAATAAAATATTAGAGAAAATATTAAACGAAAACAGTAATATTAATTCGCTTTCGTTGAAAATAAATTTTGAAATGCATCTCCTCGTTTGGTATGCACAATTTCAACACCACGTTAAATAAGTAACCAGATTCCATAGAAATTCTTTTCTACAAAATAATTGGCTAGTGTTAATAATAATAAGGTGTTATTTAAGTTGTAGTTTATTTTTGCATATGTGACTTGAAATCACATCACAGTGTTATTATTTGTTTTGTTTATAGATGCATACAAAGGTATCTTCTCAAATAAGAAGTCCTCCCAAATAAGAAAAATCGTCTTTTAAATTAGTTATATTAATTACAGTCCCTATCCAGTATGTTATAATTTTATCAATGAAACTAGTTTATGAAAATTTTGAAGAAAAGCTTCACAACTTTTCAATGGAAATATATAAACCAATTGGTAGATAGTATCTCTTAGATACTCCTTACGATTGTGTAAAACCTTAACCTATTTAGGCTTTAGCTTTGTTTGTGAGGAATCAGGTTGTTACGAGATTTATTAAGGTATAGCCTAGATGCGCTTAGGATTGTCTATGGAAATGTACTCACATGGAACCCTTGGGCACTGTCATGTTCAGGCCGTCGAGGACTACGTTGGGATTCTTGCTGCTGCCATACATTTTGTGGGCCCGTCGGACGCAAACGGCCTGCTGGCGTCGTGTTGCCAACGTCGAGGGCTGTGAAGTAAAGAGCCGACGGCGGGCCGCCAAATCCAGATCACTGTTGGCCGTCGTCGCTGTTGCTGCTGGCGCCGTTGGCGGTACTCCGTCGGCAGCGGCGTCCATTTTGCGTCAGCCTGCAAATAGACCGTAAATCGATATTAGTTTCAGCACACACACAAACTAGTATACGTATATATACAACACTGGCACAAAACTAAAATTGGCACAGACTTCCTTGCTGAAGTTGTTATTGTGCATTGACAAGGAAAGTGAATATCGATAGTGATTACCCCTGGAAAACGACGCAGTTGCGCTGAATAGGTTCTTTTTTTTAGTACACTATTTTAAAAGTATTTTCAGTTTCTAAGAAAGTTTGGAGCGTTTCTTAAACTTTAAATATTTTTATAAGCTCTTTCAGTGTGTAACTTTTTTCTTTGACCATGCTGTCTTTATGCTTGTTTATAGATTCTGCAGTCGCTTATGGCCACCATAACCCTTGGACTTTGGACCGGTCAAGTTGTAACATTTATCGCTTGCCTTGTTACTGCTCCTGCTGCTGTTTCTGGATATTTTAGCTAGTGTCGGTGGTGCCGTTGCTGCAGTTGTTTCACAGTTGATTAAACCAATTTTTGTATATCGTCAAGCCCGAGCAGAGCATGGCAGAAGCTTTAGCCTCGTGATGGATATTGCTGTCATGTAGATGCGATCCTGACCCCTTGCCCGCTTTTCTGGTCGCTGGCTATTGCCAATTTTTGGCTCGAACGAAATCAAATTTTGAAAATGGCTTCGCTTGCCGATAGAGACAGGGAGCGTGAGTGAAAAGGATGTGGAGTGAGATAGGGAAGAAATCGACAGAGATAGAGGACGGGCTAGACCAATGCCCTGCATCCTGTATTTGCCATCCAACCCTCCGACCAAGAACCGCTTGCCCCTGTGTGTAGTGTAGTGGCATTTGCCAGTTAACGACAATTTGGCCAAGTGCTTTGGTAGTTGCTTTTTATTTTCATTTGAAATTGACATTTTGCTAATCGAAAATGCAGCAAACAATTTGCCAGCTTGGGTAAAACTTTTGCAATTATTTTGCACAGTTCACCGAAATAAAAAAAACAAAAATAGAAACACAAAATAAAAGGTTGAAAAAATAAAAATTCGAAAGAAAATGAAACAAAGTCCAAAGCCCAATGCCATTTATTGATTTACTTCGCACTAACAATGGGCCAGGGCTCAGGCAAATAAATAAAAATAAGCATAACAACAGCCGAGTTACGGAAACAGCAACTGACGGGATGTGGTTGAGTTGGCCTGGCTTTCGATTCTATTCTGTATTTTGTATTTTCCCCCCGGTTCAGTTCGGTTCGGTTTTGGCCGGGGTCTGGGCTTGAGTTGGTTTTAGTTTGGCTTTTTCGGCTACTCTGCCGGGGCTGCAAGAAATAAACTTTCTTGATAAATGACTTCAATGTAATTAATTTCTGCTCAGTTCGCTTGCAGCCAAAAAAGGGAAAAGGAAGAGGGCCGTGGCAGATGCGGAGGAAGAGCCAGACAATTCCCTGGTACGGGTTGCTGTTTTGTGGCAACGGCAACCGACTCATGAGCTATGTCTTGGCTGTGGCAAATGCTGTCACTACTAATGTTGGCTGCCTTTTTGGGCTAGGTCTGCCCTGCAGCATTTCAATTAAGAATTATTGTTTAAACATGTAGGTAGCCAACTGGGTCAGAGCAACTTTTGTGCTAAGCTGATTATAACTGCAACTGATTCCCATCGAAAACCACAAGACTCATTGCCCAAACAGTCTGTGGATCGGTCAACCGCCCTCAGATTTCAATGTTAATTAACTTGATTTTAATCCAATTAATATGCACGGCACACGACCAATGACCAAGGGACTTTGAACTAGTCTCAGGCTCTAATTAAAACTTTTGCCCCGTTCTTCCGTAAATTTAATCAAACAACTTTAAAGCAAAGACCACAACAAACTACCTTCCATTTCCTCTACAATTTGAATAAATGCCGACTGTGTCTGGAGTAAACAATAAAAGTTTTGTGCAATAATTTTTCATGCCGACACGAATATCCTTTAATGTAATAAAAAGCGCAGAAACCCAATGCGGATCCGATTGAAAGGGAAACTGGGAAACCTTTAAACTTGCCTCAGCCCGGGGCGTATCTGTGAGATACGTGTAGTCCTGGCGGCTGCACAGATTTGTATCCGCATTCGGGAAATCTTTATGGGCTTTTGTAAGAGTTGTATGTACCTCCGAGATAGAGAGAGGGGATGGCACAGGTGCCGACTTGGCAGGCAGTCGGAAATAAATAAAATCACACATAGCACACATGGAGGGATAAGCCGCCAGGAAGGACTGGGGGGAGAGGGGACAGGTGCGCACATGCATGAAAAGTAAAATATGTTTATATAAATAAAGGACTGAATTCGGAAAGGAGACCCCAAACAAAGTTTGAAGTTCAACAACATAAAGAAGTGCAAATTGTTGCGTGTTGCGATTGTATCTATCGAATGTGAGCACACGAAAGCTATTTCCTGCCAACAAATATAAACGCCGCAATAAAAAGGAACAACTTCAATGGCAATAGCTACGCCCATAAAGCAGGCGCGACAATGAGTCGAGGGGGATGCCGAAACTTTTTTGCCAAACAAACAAATACAACAACACAAATAGGAACAAGGCAGCCAAAAAAAAGTTGTAAACTGAAATGATTATCTGGTGCCTGACACTTGTCTAGCCATAGATACACGTATCTTTATACGGGGATTTGTTTTTAGGCAGGTAAATAACCGAATTGTTTAACCCCCACGGAATTCGAGTCACATCTTCCCCGGGCATTTGCTTTACTGCGTTTTTATTTGTGCGTACAATGTGTGCCGCAAAAATGTACGGTCCGTTCTTTGTAGCATTTAGTAGGTGTGTTTCCGGCCCGATAAGAGTTAACTAAGCATTTTAGATCTGATCTCGGGTCGGTAATGAGAAAAAATAACATGTTTACAATAATCTTTTACAAAAAAGGCTGCACTTCCCTCATGGGTATTTAAATATTTAACCTTAAAGATAGAAATCTTTTTAATTGAACGAGGTGTTAAAGTTTTTCAGATATGAACATAAGATAAAAAGGCATATATTGGTTCTTGAACTTATTTACGAGAAGCCTTTTTTTCCCTGATTACATGATTTGATTGTTAAAAGTTTGAGGGCCATCAAGAAACGGGTCAATGACAGTCCCCATATCAAGCTATAGCTATCAAAGTATATCCATTTACATATATTTAACAGCCTAAGGGACAGCTCTTGACAGACTAATAAATATTTATATTTATTTTTAGTTTTGCCAAGGCTCTACACACATCAGGCACAAAAAAAACATACAAATTTTTATAAAATTTCACGCTCAATAAATTTGCACCACAAAAATTTCGCCGGTCAGCGCCAAAAAATGCGCTCATGTGTTAGTAATGGCAGAAAAAGGATTCCCTGAATGTACATATATGTATATATGAAGTAACAACACTTTTTCAGAATAGCACAACAGCTTCTGTAATAGTTAACAAATTATTTCACACATTATTCGGTTAGCTGCAAATGGGAAAATAATTTGGCAAAAGTCAAAGGCGGATTCTTGTAAACCAGTCTTCGATGCTGCTCGGTTGTAAGCCGTCAACCGTTTAACATAATTTCTCTTGGCCACATTGTGTATACGCCTCGTGTACTCAGCCGCAGACGAGGGAAATTGCATAGGCAAACAGGCTTTAACGTCTAATAACAAATTGTTTGCGTTTAAATTCCATTTTCACATAATATTCAAGCTCCTAAAAATTGAAAAGCTCCAGCACAACTTAATCAGAAGCATGTGTGTACACACACACTCACTCCAGACTGACTGGCACACATGCTGGAATATGTGTTTGCAGGTTTACATTTTGTATCAGGCAGCAAAATATAATTCAGAAATCCAACAAACAATTTCCTGGGTGTAACCGCAAAATGTTTAAGCCATGGGTAGCTCCACAAATGGCCACCACTACACATGGAGATGGAGGCAAATGTTCATAGATCGTTTGTTATGCTCGTTGGTTCGGTTTTGCGATGTTGTTGCCTGATGGCGGCCCGGGTCTTGGCTGTGGGCCGCATTCGTTGTAGGCTTTTGGCCTCCTGCTAAGCGCATTTGTATTTAATGAAGCCTATTTTTCTTACCGAACATGAACCGCAATTATTACGAGTCATTAGTTGCCAGTTTGCCCAGGAGGGGTGTTCTGTTCTAGTGCATGAAGAAAGGTTTATAGACAATACTGCACCAAATGGTAGCAACGAAGGATGCTAATCCATTACTTATGGCCATCTGATGTTTTTGGATATAATATTCATTTCGAAATAAGTATTATTTGTATTGAGCCTAATTGGCAGTTATTTGCATAGGATTTACTTTAAATTATTCCCTAATTGTTGAGTAACTAAGGCTTAATTTGCAAATTCAGAAACTTGATGGTCGTGTGGAACTGCATATGTAGGTTAAGTCTATCCGATTTCAAATAGCATACTTCTGTGCGGTTTCCGTGTAACACAGTGTGCAGTGCATTGCAGCGAATTCTTGCACACTCACCCATGCCAAGCCCAATTAAACTGTCACAATGTAGCTGCCATTTCATAACCCGCCCAGTCATGAACGATTTGCCAGTCGTATTTTTCAGCTTCTATGTGGGAGCGAAGCATTTGCAATTTCCTTCCTTCTGGCTAGGATGTTGGCCAGGCCCTGAGTCAGCGCATTTGCCAGCGTTGTTAATTGAAATTTGTGAATTCAAAATTCTAGTTTACAGTTGCCTGGGCAATAGCTTAGAGCACTGCAATGCGATGCGATTCTGTGTTTCGGTATCGGAATGGGGTGCCAAATCAATGGCAACCGCATCGGAATCCTCTTTGACAAATAACTGATCAGGCAAGCGAATCGATGCAACTGAAATGCGGTAGCAGTATGGTTTGGTGGCTTTAATTAAAACAAGAAAGGAAAGCTAACTTCGGGCGGAGCCGAAGTTGATATACCCTTGCAGTTAAAACCGGATATATATCGCAAACTTCGGATTTAGTTGGCCGATCCTTATGATTACATTATAATAAAACCAATTAATTA